GGTGGCGGGAGCGGCTGCAGTGGGGAGCGAGTGCGGGCGGAAGCGGCCGAGAGCCCAGCGCTGCCCCAGGCCGAGCTGGCCCAGCTGCATCCGTGCCCCTGCGGTGGGATGCTGTGGGACTGGGGGGGAAGAGGGAGGCGGCAGTGGGTGCTGGGCCTGGGGGCAGGAGGAGAAGGGAAGGAGAAGCAGGGTTGAGGAAAAAAACGGTCAAAATATATGTACCTGGGGTTGTGCAGAAGGAGGAGGAGGAGTGTGAGGTCGAGTAGGGCCACAGGAGGAGGAGGAGGAGCAGGGAGAGGAAGCAGCACGAAGTTCATCCCTGTATCTGCAGCTCCCCCAGCCCCAGGTGCGTTGCCTCCCCACATGCAGCGGGTGACCACAGTGGGCAATCCACGATTTTTATGGGGCTGAATCTTGGTGTTTCTGAGCCTTACTGTGGTAAACGTTGGTGCTTTAGTTTCTTGCAGGGGCTGAACCTTTCTATTGTGCAGGGGGTTTGGGCTGAATCTTGTTGTTTGGTTTGTTTGTGATCTGTGTTTTGTTGTTTGGGCTGAATCTTGTTGTTTTTGAGGTTCCTACAGACGCAAGATGCCCAATGTCTTTCTGAGACGAACCTGGGCAAGGAGGCATGTAGGAGACACATCGGGGGTGGACGGTCTGAGACTCGGCAGAGACCTCTATAGTCGAGTTAGATGTTAGTTGTTTATTTCAGGGCGTGGGAGAGAGAGAGAGGGAGAGCCTGCCATGAGCCGACAGATAGAGCGCAAAGCAGGCTCAGAGAGAACAATACAAAAGGGGGTAAAATATGAATACATGAGTTCAAGACTTTAAGATTGCTAAGAAAGAGAGTAACAGAACAGAAGTGAGAGAGCCAGGAAAAAGAGGATAAAGAAGAGGAAGAAAGAGCAGGAAAAAGAGAGCAGCAAGAGTGTAGAAAGCATGAGGCAAGAAGGCTAAGAGAAACAAGAGAGCTAAGAGAGAGCCGAGAGAGTAGCAAGAGAGCCAAGAGTTAAGAGAGACTAAGAGAACCAAGAGAACTCTCTTTTACAATTACATATATAACCTATACATTGAATATTCTATTCCTTTACTAACCAATCTTTCTAAGTATCCTAATACAGTAACATTTGTGTTCGACCTATAGAAATCGCTGGTTTTGCATATTTTTAGTTATCTCGGGGTTCTTCAGACCTTTCCTTATAAGGCTGGGAAGAGGGGTCTCAGCTTGGTTTTACTGGGGAAAAGAACGTGCTCTGGCACGTCAGCTTGGTTTCTTTGAATTATTCAAACTGTGCTTTCATTTGTATTTCTTCCTTAGCCTTTCTGGCTAAAGAGTCATATTTATAATTTCTTTCTAATTCTGCATTCCCAACAGAGGCACCCCCAGCCCAAGGCACTCTCCTCTCTTTTTTTCCTCCTAACCAGGAATTTTCATTCCCAAATTTTTTCCAGATGGAAGAGGAGGAGGAGGAAAAGCCCTGGAGATCCCGCACAAGGAGGGGCTGCAAACCCAGTCCAGGGAGCTGCGAGGAGGAAAGATCCCCCCAGTGCCAGGAACACGGCCAGAGATCCAGCCGGAGCTCAGAGCTGGGGGAGAAGCCCCACAAGTGCTTGGAATGTGGGAAGGGCTTCAGAAAGAGCTCCTACCTGCTCCAGCACCAGAGGATCCACTCTGGGGAAAAGCCCTACGAGTGTGGGGAATGTGGGAAGAGCTTCAACCAGAGCTCCAACCTTTGGAAACACCAGAGGATCCACATGGGGGAACGGCCCTTTGAGTGTGGGAAATGTGGGAAGAGCTTCAGAGAGATCTCTAATTTGATGAGACACCAGGTGATCCACACAGGGGAACGGCCCTACACCTGCTTGGAATGTGGGAAGAGCTTTGGGTGGAGCTCCGGTCTGAGGGCACACCGGCGCATCCACACTGGGGAGAGGCCCTACGAGTGTCCCCAGTGTGGGAAGAGGTTTCAGACCAGCTCCCGTGTCCTCAGACATGAGCGGATTCACACAGACGAGAGGCCCTTCCGCTGCCCCGACTGCGGGAAGGGCTTCAAGCACAACTCCACCCTCACCGTCCACCGGCGCATCCACACTGGGGAGAGGCCCTACGAGTGTCCCCAGTGTGGGAAGAGCTTCTCACAGAGCTCTCACTTGACCCAACACCAACGGGGGCACCAGTAAGGGAAGCCCTGCGAGTGCCCCGAGTGCGGGAAGAGCTTCGTGCGCTGCTCCAGCTCCATCCCCCATGGGAGGATGGGCGTTGGATGATCCCCAGTGACCCCCGTTGGGCAGAGCCCTGGTGATCCGTGGTCCTGGTGATGCGTGTTGGGAAGACACCTGGCTGGGAGGCTCCACATCTTCCTGGCTCCCTGTGGGCACCTGGATGAAAGCAGGGGAATGAAAATCTAACAGGATACAGAATGACAGTGGGAATTGTTGACTTTATATCCTCAAGAAAATTTTGCCTCAGGAGCTGTGTGGGCAGAGAAAAGGGGGTGACACCGGGCTTGGGGGCCCAGAGGGGAGCACAAACGCTCTGGGTGAGGGAGACACGACCCCCAGAACCCTCCCTCACCTTCCTGCACAGGCAGAAGCCGAGCCCCAGTGCCAAGAAGACGAAGCCCAACACTGAGACTCCAATCCCCATCAGCATCTTGCGTTGGGCAGCGTTTGATGGCATCCCTGGGGCATCTGCAGAGGTCAGGACCCCCAAAACCTCTCACAGACACCCCAAGCCCCTCCAAGGACCCTCCCAGTCTCTCCCAGCCCACCCAGGACCCTCTGAAACCTCCTTTGGAGTCACTAATTTTAAACAATTAAGAATTTTAGAAAAATTACAGATCTTGGCTAGAGATAGGCCTTGCTGGAAGTAGTTAGAGTTAATGATTAAGTGAGAAGCAGGATTTGAGATAATGAATCTCGGACTTAGATAAAAAATTACTTGTCATTGTATGTTTGTTCAGCTGTGCTTATAATGAGAAAAGAGAAACTGATAAACGGGTTCAGGAAGATCACAGACCTTGCATCTGGAAACCCATTTCAAAGTCACAAGGGAGGAAACTGGAGTTGTACCAAATGTCATTTGTAATGTCAACCATTGTAAAGGTAGAAAGGTGAGAGTGAGGAAGAGCGGTTTTCCTTCATCTCCTGATGACCCCTCCACACCAAAACGACCCCCTCCTCAAATTGGGGAGCCAACCATGCAGGTGTAATGACTTTTTAAACTGATTACCGTACATTTTAATCCAAAGTGGGGAACGGAAAGTGTTAGCATTATGCATATGCATTAGTATTAATATGTATTAGTATTTTGGATATTCAAGACTTTTGTAAATAAATTCACACTGGAATCTTTTGTCAACTTGCAGTGCGTATTAAGGGGTGACTCCCGCACTCGCCCAGTGCTGTGATTAAACATCCACTGTGTAACTTTAAACTGTTGGAGAGGTTTTTTGTCCATTAACAGATTGATGTTGATACTGGATCAATATTGCTATTTTGGTAAATCACTGCCAGTCTCTTCCCAGCCTCCCCAGGACCCAGCAGAGCCCCTCCTGTTCCTCTCAGGATCCCACAGCCCCCTCCCAATTTCCCCCCACTGCCCCTGGACCCCCAAACCCTCTCCCAGTCCCTTCCCAGCCCCACCAGGACTCATCAAGACTCCTCCCAGTCTCTTCCAGCACAACCAACCTCATCCCAATCCCTGCTTTCCAATGCCCAATCTCCTTCCAGCTCCTCCAGGCTCACTCAAATCCTTCCCAGTGACACCCAGCACCCCCAAACTCCCTCCCAGGGTCCACCAGGACCCCCAGAACCCCATCCCACCCTCCCCAACATCCTTTAATCCCCTTCCCAGCCATCCTAAGCACCTCAATCCCTTCCCCAGTTTAAACCAGGCCATCTCAAACTCCCTCCCAGTTCCTCCCAGCACACCCCAATCCCCCTCTGGGCCCCCCAGTGCCTCCCCTTCTGCCCCCGGCGCTGTGGGGGCCGGGCCGTGCCCCAGTGCCGGCTCAGGGGGTGCTCCAGGCTGCCGTGCTCCACCTGGCAGCTGGAGCTGAGCCCGCATTGCCGGGGGCGGTTTCCAGCAGCACCAGGAGCTGCTGGCTCCAGCTCAAGGGCACCAGCGAGATGGACATGCTGGGGTGGGCGCTCGGAGAGATTGGGCACAATGGGATCAGCTGGGTGTGAAATGGTGCCAAGGCCGGTCAGCTCTTCCTCAGCTCCACGCCAGGAGTGGAACACACCTCAGGAGCAGGATGACCCGAGATGTGGCTTAGAGCAATGCTCTACAGCACTTAACAGCTGTCAGGCACAGTGTGGAGGCAAGAATGGGGGGAAGGTA